TACATAGTGTTCAAAGATAGTTTTGTCTTCCCATACCTAAAAGTTCCTAACTTTCTAAACTTTGCACATAAATAGCATGCATCTAATGACTGTGTAAGAACAATTTAAGTTGTCAGTTATCATTTGAGAGAGAGTTTGTTCATTCCACCTCCTGACTCACTCATGAATCATATAGAAGTAAAACAGCAATTTTAAGTTACCTACCATCGATTTTCCCCAAAAATAAACCATCACTAAACGTACGTAGGTGTCTGTTCATAGAAAAGAGACATGGCGTATATTTTTACCAAATAGAAAAAGAAGATGATACGAACTGAATTATAGCAATTTATGTGTATAATATTGTTCTAATATTGAATACGGAGTTGAATTTATGTTGTCAAGTAAACATAAATTAGGTATAGGTATCAAAATATCATAAGAATTTGAATACTTAAATAAGAGATATCTTGTTATCCGAATAAAAATTTTGTAATCAAAGTAAGTCTAGTATAGTAAGTATAGTAAATGAATAAACGTGTCAATAATTATGATTCTAAGCCTTGACGCATAATTTTTAAACATATATGTATCTTTGATACATTAGAATTGATTTCTCATAATTTTAAATTCTCCTCAAAAAAATATTGGAAATATCTTCCTTTCCTTGGGTATTTTTTTTCAATCATAGTATTACTATTACGTAAAAATTACATACTCTAACAAAACATTATCATCTGTTTCTAATCGTAAGATATTATAGAAAATATTCATTTTACGTGCACCAATAAATATCTCTGAAATGACAGTACATCGTTTCTCTGTGATATAATCTCAAACGCGTGTGCTTTTGGGCAAAAGTAAATGCTCAGATGTATGCATCCCGAACATACATTCCAACGGTTCCAGTAGTTTCGAACAGTACACCGAATTGTTCTGCAGATCGTGTGTCCCGGTGAAGTGATCTATTGCTCTCTCAATTCGATGTTCGATTCAGGTGTCGAACTTTCCATGTTTCTCCTGTACCCCGTTACAAAGAGACATTTGCAGTCTCGTCCGTTTACCCCCTTTTTTCAGTTTCCTTATTTTCGTTTCTCTTCCTCTCTTCTGTGATCCGTAGCGGATAACAAGATAGCAACGAACCATGACAGAAAATATCTTCCAACGAGGAAAATTGTCCAGAACTCATCACGGAAAACACAAGGAATACTTGAGAGCAAAGACCACAGGAGAAACAGAAAGCACGCGGAGCGGAGAGATAGAGAATTTCCCTTGTTATCTACCAACTCCGCCTGAATATAATGTACCGCCAAATACATAATAAAGTGATCCACCCTTCCTCTCCTTTTTTCCAAGAGAGCGTTAAAACTCTCTTGTCCAATCGACGAACGCCACTTTTTCATGAGTTATGAAAAATTATGTCTACCACTTCTTATCATGAAAATTCCAATCCAATTTTCACAAACTTTGTGTTTTTGATTGATGATTTTCATAGAATGTATTATATCATCGATACTGAAGTTATAAATACAAATCAGCATTAACTAATACTTAAGACTAACAATTTCTGTACACATGTTTTTAATATTTTTACGATAGGATTAAAAATACCACCCTTATCAGATATGATATTAATATTCGGTATAATATTCGATATAATATTCCCATTAATATTCGGATCCTTTTTCAAGAAAAGTAACTTTTTTAGAATTGGAGAAAAGGACTTGAATTTGGTTGACATATTGAGACTAGTTTACTAGACAATTTGTGAAAAAGTCTGTAAAAAGTGCAATTGGTTGTAATAACGGTATTTCAATCTTTTGTGTCGGTAAGCTATTTACGAGCTGAAAATTTCATTGATGTGCGTAGAGATTGTACAAAACACTTTAAACACCATGTATATTAAGAAAAATTTACAAACTTAGCATTATTCTAGCATCAGCAATCATTTAACAGACGATTAGTATTGAACTGGAGGACGTCTGTACAATTCTACGATCGCTGATCTTAACAATGGGATCCACGATTTGTAAGCAACGTGTCCTTTATTTTCTGCTCACCGTGTATATACAATTGTCACTTTTTAAAATTTTAACGAATGGATATTTCCATTTAATAGCGTACGTTTACAGTAACAATCAGATAATTCAATTATTCAATCGTTTAATATCACTTTGAACCGCGTTCGTGTCAGTGATCGAAAATTTTCAACATTATAGGCAATGATACGTTCAGTGAAATACCGTTCAATTGATGTATCATGAAAATACGATTCATCTGTCCATGACGCACATCTGCATGATCGAACAACGAATCAGATTAGCTGTACCACTGCAGTGGTGTACACCACTACATGTTTCGTCTAAATGTTTTGTTATTAAATTATTGTATTCGAAGGAAGCAAATAAAATTAAGATATTTACTGAAGCAAGAGTATTGTAGTAAAAAGGTAGCACACGTTTATTGTCTTTAATTTGTTATATTGTAATTAACATAACGTAAACCTCACAAAGCAAAATAAATCCGCTCTACTAACCAATTTTATCATTTTTGCATTGAATAATTAATTGTTTTCATCAAAAACCAAAAATTGGTGAATGTATTTACGTTAAGTTATTTTAAAAAAATTAGTACTACTTTGTTTCTTTCAGTTTTTCTTTATACTTTCGTCATTCACAAAAAATTGCTATATATACAGTGTTTAACGAGACAGGATAAACATTACGTTTTTAATACCAAAATGGAAATAATAATAGCGTTTAACATCTTTCCAAGTAAATATCTAAGATTATAAAGATTTAAACGAACTATTAATTAATATAGTACGTAGCTCAAATAAAGGAGTTGTAAAACATCATTTTCTTCCTTTTTCGTCACTCCAACTAATTGCAATTTTTAGAAAAATTTATTCAGACATTACCAAGTGAACTGGTCCTTCTACCACCTCAGAAGAATTCAAGTTATTTGATCAAATCTTAATAAAGTTATACCATTTCAAAAAGTGTCCGAATATTTCAATAAGCTACCGTATATCGTAGAAAAATGTAACATATTACCGTACCGTTTGCGACGCAAATTAATCTTGGGTCATGAAGTTATTTGTGGACGGAAGTGAATCTCGCTTCGACCGGGGCACTCGCAATTGACGCGATAACATGGAATCGACCGGTGCCAAACACGAAGTATGTCACAGTTGAAATCAAAGGGTAAATGTATAAACTAAAGTGCATGGATTCTCAATAAGGTAAGGAAACTGAATGTGGAGTGGGATGATAAGCGTCGATGGGCTACAAGTGGGAGGGTATCGATAGACTAACTCGGTGGCTTTGACCCGCCAATTCAGCATCACCCATACGGGTACTCAACCGCAAATCGAGTTCCGGCCGTAGGGCAGAATAAAATAGACCCCACCCCCCCAAGTAACCCTTCCCCTGACTGCACTCTCCCCCCTTTTCTTACTGACCGAACTATCTGCTGGCCGATTCACGTGTAGGCAGTAAGACATTACTCGCGAGGGACACGTTTCTTCGATGTTCGAGGAAAAAGGGAATGCTAGAATAGTCGATTGGCAGAGAAAATCAAGTTAGCTTTAATGAGCATGGTCAAATGGAAAGATCTAAGTGTGTGAAATGTACAGCGTGCAGTTGACAATATATTAGAAGGTTGCATTGAAAACCGCTGTTCCGCTATCAGATGACTCTAGGTGCCATATGCTGTGAGTAATGAATTTGACTATTTCTCATAAAATTTCAGTTAACGGAGGTCTTCTTTTGTTTACACAAGTACCTTTGTGTAGTAATAAAGAATGACACGCGATAAACTGTTTCCCCGATGTATACTTCTACATTTGAAAAAAGGTTTCTTGTAGCCTATTGTAACCGGTTATGGGAAATGGATCTATTTCGACAATCCGAAATGCAAAAAATCATGGACATGGGTGGAGTAGTGCTTTTGCTTTGTTTTCGGACATAACTAACTTCATACTTATGGAATAGAACATATCAAATTTTTATATTCAAAACTATACAAAATAAAAGAATAATGTCCGAAAACAAACCAAGGGCACAGCAATCGGTCACCCCACAATAACTGGTCCAGTAGTCTATGTACTGTTGAAACCTAAGGAAACAGTCATTACCGAACGGTATCAGCAACAATTGCAGCGTTCCAATGATAATTCAATACAAAAAAGACCATCAGACACATCAAATTGCCGAAAAATGATGCTTTTACACGATAATGCTCGGCCCCATGTTGCTATCGCATCTAGCGCATTCTCCGGACCTGGCTCCAAACGATTACCAACCAATTTCGATTGATGCAATACACTTTAGAAGATTTACATTTCTAGAATTACAGAGAAGTTGAAAATTGGATTGCTGAACAGATTGGTTCAAAAGACAGCATTTTTCCGTCGTGGAATTCATCTTCTGTCAAAAAAGTGGGACAAAGATAGTTTCCACGGTTATTTGCATAATTTTTTTTAAATGAATGCTAAGAGAAAGAAGAAATAATGGCTTTCAGTGCAACCTGCTAATATGTCAATATGTGAATATATCGTCGGAACATATAATATTTTCTAAACGACATCGATATACTAAGATATACTATCGATATACTATCTCCATATAATTTATTTTTTTATATTTGACTCCAGTTTCATTTAGTCTAATGAGCACAAGTGATATTTATCATCTTTATAAGAATAATAGAGAATTAGTTATTTTAGAGAGGACAACTTACGGTGACCTTGATCTTCGCAAATTCTGAAGAACATGATCTTGAATAACATTTCCTCATAACTTAATCGGTAATTTCTAACATTTAATTGCTGAACAGATGCAACATGGGTGCAGGTTAAATTTTGTACATTTTACAAAATATTTTGCAATTCATTGTAATGGTAATTACACTTTGATTGACAACAAAATCGGTGTAATTCAATAATAGTATTGTGATTTTTATTAAAGATTTTGTTAACGGATTTTAATATATTTATGGTTTCCGTTTGTTTTTCATAGTTCCGCCGGACATTTTAGATTACGAGACGAGTACAGACATGGTGGTGAAAGAAGGTAGCAATGTAACGTTGCGTTGTGCTGCAAAAGGATCACCAGAACCTACAATTACCTGGCGCCGTGAGGATGGTAAATTAATAGTCTTGCCAGATGGAAAAGAAGGTAAGCAGCAATTTTTATCAAAGTTGATATATACATTCGTATACATGTTTCACATCTTTGATGGTAGAAATTAATTTAGATACAAGTCGAATTTGTAATTTTTGTTGCAGTTGCCAGCGTTGAAGGGCCAAGTTTTAATATTACTAAAGTAAACCGAGTACACATGGGATCGTACCTTTGCATCGCATCTAACCGTATTCCACCATCAGTTAGTAAAAGAATTATGCTGATTGTGCATTGTAAGTATCATTTACTGTTTACTATTACTGATTTTCTTATTTTACTTGCTTCTTGACTTGCTTAATATATTACCTTTTATCTTACTATCATACAACAATGTTTCGCTGTTTACAATTTGACTGTGGCCAATCAGCATTTAAATGAAATAAAACTTTCCAAATTCTAACAAAACTTAATACATTGAATATATTAGGACGAAAATTCATTTTTCAATTTGAACAAATGAATGTAACTCCTATTTTTGGAAAGCACAGCTCTCGAAGTGTTAATTGAATACTTTTAATAAGAAACTCGAATGTTTATTCAACACATATTGTACAAGATTATACTGATTTGAATAATGTTAAATGATCATATATTTTACGTAGTTTTCATCGAATCTATCTATAACGAATTGCACACGTGTTAACGTAATGAAAGACGGAAGTTTCCACTGCTTCTTTCAGTCCCACCAATGATTTGGGTGCCAAATCAACTAATGGGTGCTCGGGAAGGACAAGAATTGACTTTGGAGTGTCATTCGGAAGCTTATCCGAAGTCCATCAATTACTGGACCAGGGATAAGGATGAAATAGTACCACAAGGTAAATTCGAATAATACACTCTTTAAATAAAGTAAAATTACGATAACATTTATAATATTTTCTGTTGTTTTCAAGAAACATTATATTTTCAAACTTACAATCGCTTTGTGTCTCAACAATAATTATAGTGTTATACAGTTCTAATTTAAATACTAATAATTCTGTTTACTCTCTTGAACGAAGCAATATAATTTAGCACTATAGAATAAATAGCAGATTATATATCATAAGCAATCCGTAAAATCGAAATCTACAAATATTATGATATCTATTACAATCGTACACATAATATCGTGCAAATGTTTCCACGCACAGAGTGCACGTTTCGATAATAGGTACATCTGGTAACCTACCGATAATTTATATGTTTATTTTGGATGCATACGCGTATTACCCTATGGGGTGTAATTATCCATTCACGTCCCCCGTATACATATTGCATAAGAATACAACACATCTCGTAGACAGAAAAGTAACCAGTTGTAACGAGTCTTTTGAATAATGAAACCTTGATGCCAAAAACGCATAAACATGGGCACCAACGAAGCGCGAGTATAAACGTTCCGCTCTGCTTTATGCCTGGTCTATAAAAGCTAGCTTTAGTACCTTCCATCGATCCACCACCGTTCCTTTCAGATCCCCACATTTTCCCTGTATCACGATATGCTCACGACTTGTTCGCGGTTGGGTCAAACACATTTTGACGCAGAACGCCACCCGATGCCATCCTTTTTCACCGGTACTCCTCGGTTAACCCACTTTATTAGGTACCTACTATAACAGTCGAAGGATCGCTCGGTACCAAGTAATACGAGAGACAAATGATTGCAAGAGAATTTCGTGATCTGTCTTATTTACGAATCAATGGATTCGAGAAAAAAAATATATATTCACCGATATTGTTTGCAATAACGTGGTAAGCACTATGCAATGTAACTAGTACACTGGCACTTGTAAATATTTTACTAGACCTTATTTTCGTACTTAATCGTTAGCACACGTAGCTCAAAACAATTGAGCATATCCTGAATGGTGACGCAACGACGAAGACCTGAAGTAGTTTACCAAAATACAACAATACCGAATTCGCGAATTACACAAGATTGAACTTGTCTTGAGAAGTCCGTTTCCATTGCAGATGATGAAGTAACGAAACACAATTTTGAACCTCGCGAGAACAAAAAGAGACGAAATCAGATTTTAACGACGAGCAGATTTTAAATATACAACTTTTTAGTATACGACAATAAATTTTCACCACGAGGAAGTTGCTACTTTAGAGATTCAAAAATGAGTCAGAACAAAGTCAACGTTCCTACTACTGACTCCCTTTCTTACAACGATGATCTACTTAATAACTACGTTATGTAGGATATATGGAATAATAATTGCGAAAAAGAAAATGAATCGAAATTAGATAACACTAAAAGTCTTACGACAATACATTCCTTAATTGACCCAATCTGATTTAAGTGTATTTTGAAGACTATTCAAGTCGCAATCATAGATTTCTTTCATTATTTCGCTCTTCGGCCATGTAACATTTCTATTCGTGAAAGATAGCACCATCGCCGGATAGAATCTAGATTCTTACGAGCCGGGTACGGAACCGTCCCTGAATGGTGTCGATCTAAACAGAAATCACGTTAACTTAAACCGGTGCACGGCGAATACTAAAATAAGCCAGACAGGGGGACAAGATCGACTATCTTTCAAACTGATTGAACTATTGTGACGCTCCTACAAAGGTTGTTGAAATTCTTGTTTTGTACGGTGTACAATCGTTTCTATTGAAAAACACTAATGAATTGCTGTTTACACGTCGGATCGGATTTAACTCACTATTTATGTTCTTTTTTATTGTTGTCGATCTTACAGATGTTACCTATATGAGTTAGCACAATGTTTGACCGCTTTGTCAAGGTTACTTTATTAATAAATGTTATCTCGCCATATTGTATAAAAATCTGAGTTTCAACTAACACACGGATTGGAAAACAAATTTTTTTTAGTATAAAATGATACTAACTAAATAACAGGTTTTTTAAATATGTACAATCATCTTTTGAGTCACTACAAATGTAACCCAAGATGACACTGATAGAATTAAAGAATTTTGTTCGAATACTCCAACGTTTGAATGTATTCTTTTCATTTTGTAAACTGAAAGTAGGAAATCGGCACTTTTGCAGATTCCCCTAATCTTTATTATACTATGATAATTTATTTTGTATTATTATACTAAATTACTAATATTAAATATTATTATACTAAAACGCATTGTTTGTTTCAATTTTGTTATATTTTACAAAAACATTCTCGTGTTTCAGGAGGGAAATACGAGCCTGAATCACTAGAAAGTGCTTACAAAGTCCACATGAAACTAACTATAAATGCTGTCAGTTCATCGGATTTTGGTTCGTATAAATGTGTGTCCAGAAACTCATTAGGGGACAACGATGGTAGCATCAAAGTTTACAGTAAGTACTTAATAAATAATACACCTAAAAGCTATCTCAATTTCTGATTTCCTCAAAATTGCTTGATACTTAAACTATTATAAATATGATCAGAGATCATGTATATAATTAAGACATTTCATCTTATAACGATGACACTTTTCGAAAATGTTTTCTCTTTCGCATGTTTCAGGAATAACATCGGGCACAAACTCGAGTAGTAGCAATACTAGATATAAAGGTAAGATACTGGTGAAGTTCCAGAGTTTAACACTTATTGTGTGCAATGTATTTACACTAGTATCGACAACTAAACGTGTCATCGTATCGTTATTGTAGGAAAACTGAGGCATAATTCAAGAAACGAGATTTTTGATGGAAATCAAAACATGCTCAAAGAACGAGGTGGGTGATGTTCGTATTACAAGGATCTAGCAAGTAGATTAAAGATACACATGGTGTGACAATAACCTGAAAGAATAAAGAAAATATTATCTCCAACCTGTATTTTCTCGAGACTTTGTTTTCGAGAAAATCGACCCACAAAAATGATAAAAATATAAGTTCTGTATATACTACCACTAATTAAAGCATACAAATTAATATTTTGAAATTTTTAAGACAAAAAATTATTCAACTTGGAAAATGTTTTTTGAAATGTTTTGGAAAAGATTTTTTTGCACTAGCGTGATAAATACGCAGATACTGCAACGGTAATTTTGTGACAAAGAATAATGGCATAATACTAACATTATAATTATTTGCCTTCAGATTTGAAATTACGTGGCCGTAAGGAGGCAGGCGGCGGCGACGATGCCGACGATTATGATGATTCCGGAGTAATGACGAAAGATAACCCTTTCATCCTGATCGTTATTTCAGTTTCGTTCACTATCTACCTTCACCATCATCCGCAGTTAAGAACGCTCCATTCGGCTTGAAAATCGACCGTCGCAGTGTTAGTACATCATCAAATTCTCTTTTCGATCGCAACTCATCGAAAATTTGTAAATCCATTTTAGAACACCATCGCTCAGGGACTTCATTCGAGGATAAGTTTCATGAAACGTGCTGACCACATATACTTTACTGTATAATAACATCCTAACATGTAATGATATTAGATATTATAAATTACTCGTAAACAATAACTGATTAGGCTGAAAGTGGAACGTCATTCCTTGCCATGAAACTAACGCGTAGGGATTACAGTGTAGTACGAACTATGAACGAACGCGAGAGGATCCTGTAGTAAATAATGATTGGATTTGTAAACTTGCACGATAAGTACAGTGAGCCTTGATCACGCATAATTACAATCGAAGATGATACTGATGAAGTCAATCACACCAGACGAATTCCTCGCTAATTCTAGTGTAGACGTTTATATATGTTAAGCTGGTTAAGAGGTATACTTAGAGAACGCATACGCTGCTAGTGATGCATCTGTGTACATTTTGCAATGTATTCATATCAATTGTAATCATAGTGATTTTATTTTGCGACAACTTATCGCGAGTTAAATTGTAATAAATAGTCAATTTCTTTGCTCTTGAGCTAAGTATTAAGATGTAAGAAACCCCACAAGAATAGTGTATTTTATGGAAAAACGATTGGAAGTCACTACTGCAGCGAATGTGTGAAACTATTTTTAATAATTAAGTCCATTATTTACTATTTATGTTTTGCAAGACGCGCGCGCGCGCGCGCGCGTAGCAAGGTACTATTTCAAAGAGCTAATAAGAACATATAGGAACATTAGTACAATAAAGTGAATCGTACCACAATGTAAATTTTAACTTCTCATAATATTTTTCAGACGATTCGTTTGTAAATAAAAGATTTTATCTCCGAGTGAGACCAACTTTAGTCGCTGTGAAAAATGAGTTGACATTTGACTCTTCAAAGAACTTGCTGTCTTATATGGTTAAATATTTTGATGTTTTATTCTGTATAATAAAGATGCAAACACATAGAAATTGGTCACGCGTTTATCATAGAGAGCTTAATTATTCTACAGGGTGTTCCAAAATTATGTTATTTCCGGGAAATGAGGGATTCTTGAGGTCATTTGAAGCAACTTTTTCCTTAACAAAAATGCAATCCGTGGTTTTGTTTACGAGTTATTAGTAAAAAAAAACACTGACCAATGAGAGGCGAGCAAATGACCTCAAGAACCTCTCATTTTCCAGACGTAACATAATTTTGGGACACCCTATATATCGTTTAATTTTCAAAATATTTTGACGGAAAAGTTGACTTATTTCTCAAGGCGACTTCTATTTGTAAGCAGGTTCATAAAGTCATAATTGTGGAAAACGTAATTATAGTACTTGTTTGTTCTCATTAGTGTGTTGTAGTATAAGTTTTAGTATCTAGAGTAAAATCCGTATAAAGGGTTCTATTTTTTCTCAAAATATTGAAAGATAGTAACGAAACTCCGTATTTGTATCTGAAGGGTATGAGTTTACAAGATAGCGAATTATAATAGCATCATAAGGATCCTTATACATTATACTAAATGAAGATGACAACGTGCGTATCGTTTGTTTCCAAAAATTTCTATGAATTTTGCTTATAAACTTATTAATTGTATTATTTAAAAAAGAAAAAACATTCCAGTTTGGAGGCATTTACATTTTCATTCCCGATGATGACTAGAATTAGCCAACAACCACCCGCTACATTGTAAATAATAGCTATAGTTACAGCGCTTGCTGTGCATGAATCGTAAGGGTGATCATAATCATCTATTTAAATTGTGCATTAGCTGACAACACCGGTGGAGTTAAATATAAACACTTTCGAAGACTAATGACTTTCTTGGCCTGGCATCGTACAGTTCTCATTCTTGAAGCTATTGAGTCTAAGTCGCATCTTGCAAAATTTTGTTTCCAATATTTTGAAAGAATTCCTCATAGTCCATTGCTTATTAATAGACTGCGGATTTTATGTATTTATGACAAAAACGAGTATATGAAATACGAAATTGTGAAAATATTTAAAGAATTTAAAAATATCTTGACACTATCTCCGACTTCTTAAAATTATGAAATGAGAAGATTAGATTATATCTATTTTTGTTCAGGACATTTTGGAACATTGAGAACCTGAACAAAAATAAATATAACCTAATTTTTATTTCATAATTTTAAGAAGTCGGAAATATTGTAACGATATTATTAAATGGATCAACTAATTTTTATTTCAGTTCTGTTCTCTCTCGGAATAGACTTAATAAATTTGACGCATAAAGAACCACAGATTATTTATCAATCAGAACCTGTTTTTGAGTGAAAAAAGCATATCTTA